AATCTTTTTTTTTTTGGTATTTTTTTGCGGGAGGGCGTTGGCTCAACTTCCTCTTTTTTCAAGATTTTTCCTATTTTTTTCCCTTTTTCCGCAATTTTCGGGGTTGGGAATGGTCAAATTCCGATTTTTCCAAAATTTTTGGGGTCTGGGATTTCCCAAACCCCCCCGTTCCAGGGATTTTTTGGGGTTGGGCGTGGCCAAAACCCCCCTGTACCCAAAATTTGGGGGGGGCTGGGTGTGTCCAAACCCCCCTGTCCCGCGATTTTTTTGGGTCGAAAGTCCCCAAATTCCTCTTTTCCCACAATTTTCGGGTCTGGGATTTCCCAAATCCCGATTTTTCCAGGATTTTTGGGCTCTGCAATTTCCCAAACCCCCCTGTACCCAAAATTTGGGGAACTGGGCGCTCCCAAATCCCAATTTTTCCACAATTTTTTGGGTCTGAGTGTTCCCAAATCCCGATTTTTCCACAATTTTCGGGTCTGGGATTTTCCGAATTCCGATTTTTCCCAGGATTTTGGGGTCTGGGCGTGTCCAAACCCCCCTGTCCCGGGATTTTTTTGGGTTGAAAGTCCCCAAATTCCTCTTTTTCCAGGATTTTTGGGGTCTGGGATTTCCCAAAATCCCGATTTTTCCAGGATTTTTGGGTCTGGGATTTCCCAAATCCCGATTTTTCCAGGATTTTTGGGGTCTGAGATTTCCCAAACCCCCCTGTCCCGGGATTTTTTTGGGTTGAAAGTCCCCAAATTCCTCTTTTTTCACAATTTTTGGGATCTGAAATTTCCCAAATCCCGATTTTTCCAGGATTTTGGGATCTGAGATTTTCTAGACCCCCCTGTCCCGGGATTTTTTTGGGTTGAAAGTCCCCAAATTCCTCTTTTTCCGCATTTTTTGGGATCTGAAATTTCCCAAATCCCGATTTTTCCAGGATTTTTGGGGTCTGGGTGTGGCCAAACCCCCCTGTACCCAAAATTTGGGGAACTGGGCGTGTCCAAACCCCCCTGTCCCGGGATTTTTTTGGGTTGAAAGTCCCCAAATTCCTCTTTTTACACAATTTTTGGCATCTGAAATTTCCCAAATCCCGATTTTTCCAGGAATTTTGGGGTCTGGAATTTCCCAAACCCCCCTGTACCCAAAATTTGGGGAACTGGGCGTGTCCAAACCCCCCTGTCCCGGGATTTTTTTGGGTTGAAAGTCCCCAAATTCCCTTTTTTCCCACAATTTTCAGGTCTGGGAATTCCCAAATCCCGATTTTTCCAGGATTTTTGGGGTCTGGGATTTCCCAAATCCCGATTTTTCCAGGATTTTGGGATCTGAGATTTTCTAGACCCCCCTGTCCCGAGATTTTTTTGGGTTGAAAGTCCCCAAATTCCTCTTTTTCCACAATTTTTCGGATCTGAATGTTCCCAAATCCCGATTTTTCCAGGATTTTGGGGTCTGGAATTTCCCAAACCCCCCTGTACTCAAAATTTGGGGAACCGGGCGCTCCCAAATCCCAATTTTTCCACAATTTTTTGGGTCTGAGTGTTCCCAAATCCCGATTTTTCCAAAATTTTGGGGTCTGGGAATTCCCAAAATCCCGATTTTCCAGGATTTTTGGGGTCTGGGTGTGTCCAAACCCCCCTGTCCTAGGATTGTTTTTGGGTTCAAAGTCCCCAAATTCCTCTTTTTCCACAATTTTTGGCATCTGAAATTTTCCAAATCCCGATTTTTCCAGGATTTTTGGGGTCTGGAATTTCCCAAACCCCCCTGTACTCAAAATTTGGGGAACTGGGCGTGTCCAAACCCCCCTGTCCCGGGATATTTTTAAGTTAAAAGTCCCCAAATTCCTCTTTTCCCCCAAATTTCGGGTTTGGGATTTCCCAAATCCCGATTTTTCCAGGATTTTGGAGTCTGGGATTTCCCAAACCCCCCTGTCCTGGGATTTTTTTGGGTTCAAAGTCCCCAAATTCCTCTTCTTCCACATTTTTTGGGATCTGAAATTTCCCAAATCCCGATTTTTCCACAATTTTGGGGTCTGGAATTTTCCAAACCCCCCTGTACCCAAAATTTTGGGAACTGGGCGTTGCCACTTCCCCTTTTCCAAAATTATTGGGGCTGGATGAACCAAAATCCCGATTTTTCCACAATTTTTGAGATCTGGGAATTCCCAAATCCCGATTTTTTTCCACATTTTTGGGGTCTGGGAATTCCCAAATCCCGATTTTTCCAGGATTTTTGAGGTTTGGAATTTCCCAACCCCCCCGTTCCCAAAATTTGGGGAACTGGGCGTTGCCACTTCCTCTTTTTTCTCACGATTTTGGGTAAAAATCCCAATTTTTCCCAAAATTTTGAGGATTTTCCTCTTTTCCCTCACAATTTTGAGCAAAAATCCCAACTTTTCCTGGGATTTTGGGTAAAATTTTCAATTTTTCCCGAGATTTTGGGTA